CACGGATGTCTGGAAACTGGCGAAATTGCTCTTACACCTGACCCAGACCGAATACCTACTGTGCCTACGGAGAATGAGGATTACATTTTAACGATTCGAGATGTGTTGAATGTTCAAATTCGCGCCAAACTTGTTGTGCTCAGTTGCTCCCACAGTGGTTGGGGCGAAATCATGGCTGAAGGTGTGGTTGGTATCGCGCGCGCTTTTATGGGGGCCGGTGCTCGCTCTGTTCTGGTGTCCTTGTGGGGGATTGACGACGAGGCTACTATCGAGTTCATGAAAAGCTTTTATCACTACCTTGCAGAAGGTAAACCTGCGAGCGAGTCACTGAACCTGGCCATGAAAAGCCTCAGAGAATCAGACAAGTTCCGCGACATCAAATACTGGGCGCCCTTTTCGCTGATTGGAGATGACGTCACTTTTGACTTCATGGCAAAGGAAAGAGACAAGTGAAATGTAAAATCACATAGATGAAAAATTGCTTTTTTTCCTTCATCTCAAAAAGAATGACGCAGGAACTTGGAAGGTTTAAATGTTTCTCTATTTTGGCAATTTTGTGTTATTTTTCATTAGTCTTAGTTTACTTTTTCGTTAAATGGAACTTGAGATGTGCAACTTTACTATGGTGAAGAAATAAACCAGTCTATTTCATTATATTTTGATCAGTGGAATTGTCATTTTTTGTTACCTTAACAAATTTACATGCTTGCGAAGAGAACAAAATGCAACAAGGCCTCTGTTATGAACGAGGTTTCCATTTCCATCAACATGTCACCCAGCTCTGTTCCTGTATTACAATCAGTTGTATGGAAAATAATTTAAAGTTTATTTCTTTTACCCAACCAGGGGCTTTTCCACCGGATTTTAATTACCTTTATGCTCTAAGCTTTTGATAAGCAAAGAAACAATTCGTCATTTACAAAAGTTGGCGAATTTTTGTTTCCAAAACTTTGATTGAATATGTATGTGAATTGAATATGTGAATTGATCTTAGACCGTTTTCTACATCATAAATTACTTTATTACAATTTACCTTCATCTTTACAAAAAAATTGATTACCATTTTGAACTCAATCCATTTTAATGCAATCTAATTCTGTCAGTGCCAAGATAGCCATTCTAAGCTTAATTTGAAGAAGTAACCATCAGAGATGATGTTATTAAATTTACTAACCATATGTTAGAGACATTACACCTACTTTTAGGGGTGTAGCCAGCCTCTAGTCTCGTAGCCTACCCGCTTGACTTTTACTAAAAGATAATATGACTCTTGCAAATGTTGAAATAAAAATTGAAATTTGTGAGGGAAGAGGCTTACATTTAGTCAAAAAGCTGGCTACAACCCTGTTTTCAATCAAACGAGTGTGGCCGATTTTTGTCCGTTTTACCAAACACTTCTCCGTTCGTTTTAAAGAACGACGACA